AAAGAAAAGAGGAAAGGGTGAGGGGGAGGCTGTTTCGCCCCCGCCGCCGCAGCCCGAGAGGTTGGTCTGGGTTTTTTTCCACCTGCCTCTTCTGTTTGTGTGTTCAGGTGAAGGATGTGATGAAGGATGTGATGGCGGGCCTACAGCAGACCAACAGTGAGAAGATTCTGCTGAGCTGGGTTCGTCAGAACACACGGCAATACCCTCAGGTATGACGCTTTACGTTTCAGTTGTTGGTTTGAAACACCATTATAAATGTAATATTCTTTCAGAATTTGCTGTGTGTAAAAATCCTGTTTGAGAAGAGAATTTTATAATCCAAGCTACTTTAGTAAGTGTGAAAATCAAAATTATTTATTTCAAAAAGATTTGAAGTTTAAAAAAAATGCTAACTTTGACTGCAACTTTTTCTTTTCTTTTCTTTTTTTTTAAAGTGCCACAAAATCAGTCATCTTAGGCCACAAAAATCATAAAAAAAAAACACCAGAGCGTCCCGAAAACACTGATTTTAACTTTATGGCTTTTAATGACATCATAGGTTTATATCACAATCCTCCCCATTCAAAGCACTTGTTTGGCTCTGCTTTAGCTAGCTGTCAGTGTGCAGCTAAGTGGTAAAGATAATACCACGTTACCACCATGCTAAAACGACAGCGTCTGATATTCTGATGATAAATCACAACAACCTCTCAGTGTCAGTTTTAGTTCACGTTCAACCTTCCCTCACAAAACCCCCGTACCTCCTGAAGATCCCTCTCCAGTCTGAAGGAACCCTTCTTGGATCCTCCGGTTTGACTGTAGCATAATGTGCGACGGCAGCAACCTTCCTGCTTCTTTTCTGCTGCTTCTCACACAGCATCAATCTACATAGAGCTGGACTTGGACAGCTTTATTGGGCCTCATGTGCAATTCATTTGTAGCCTCTCAGCTCATATATATTCACTCCGTACAGACTCTATCAACACAGTCGTCAATTCAGCAGCACACTAAGCTTAACGTTATTGTGAGAGAGGCTGTGTGTCATGTTCCTTTGAGTCATTTTTTAATTTAATGGCTGTGGTTTGCTAACAGTTGGTTATAGTAACTGTGTGCCAAGTCGGTTCTGGACTCTAATAAAGACATAAATATAAATAGAGCCTCTAAGTTAAGTTTCTAAATCTACCACAAAGTTGATATCTATTTTAAAGCACTAGTTTGGATGCTACAGTTTTCACATTATATGTAAAATGTAATGCCACAATATGTAATAAAGTAATGAAATCACACTTACAAATTTAATAAAAAACACATTGTGTAATAATTGATGCAAAATGCAATAGATTTGTTTTAAAAGCACAGCTCAACATTTATTCTCTGTGAAAACACAAAAGGGTGGACTTTATAGCTTTTAAACATTTTGTCTGGCTGAAAAGCGACTGTAACAGACTGAGCATAATGAACACTCCTCTTTGCCTTTCGGAGCATTTTAAAAGCTTTGTATCCTCTTTTCGCTTCATGCATTCAAAAGCTCTGCCTGTCATCAACTGAACGAGTCCCTGCACTTCAGGGCCGGAGTTTCAGCTGCGGGTTTAGCGGCTCGCAGTCGCACTCCGCCTCTTTAGTTTTTATATTGTCTCTGTCCTCAGGTGAATGTGGTTAACTTCTCCAGTAGCTGGAATGATGGATTGGCCTTCAACGCCCTCATCCACAGCCACAGGTGCAGTACGACGACATGTTTGTGTTAGAGAGCTGAGAAGGAAAAAAGACAAACATTGTATAAGGGTGGGAAAAAAAATAAATAAAACAGACAAGTAAATGCTGAGTTTTAATGAACAATGTTGAGAATGTCTCTTTATCTCTAGAATATCTCTAAAATATCCCCAAGGCTCTTGTAATTCAAAACTAAGACTAGAAATGATCCTTACTGCATAGTAGTTTGAGTTGGGGCAAGGTCAAAATTTACTACAATTCATTTTCTCTTGTTTCATTAACCGAACGGCTTAAAGGTGGAGTATTATGCAAAATAGATTTTTTTTTCTTTAGCTTTACATCATGTTATAATGTTATTCCCTCAGCAAAAACACACCTGGAGTGTTGCCTTGATTCTTTCATGCATGTTTGAGAAATCCTCTAGTCTCCCGTGGCAACTATTCATCTGCTGAGCTCATTAAAGGAGCTACTTCTCAGTGCAACGCTGGTAAAAACATTGTCAAAGGGTTCATAGAGGAGCCGTATTATGATGACTTCCTGTAGGCGGAGTGATGGAAAGAGCAGGAGTTTCTTAAAGAGACAGAGGCCCAATTTCAAGGCATTAAAATACAAAGTCAAATTTATTTTAAGTCACATTTGACATATGCAGCATTTTTATAACAACTGACGGTAACATCATCACTTGACTGTGTGGAAATTGAAGGTAGGATTTTTTCAAGTTGTTTATTTTAAGGTTTTTTTCTACACTTACAAGCAGTGATAATTGGATAAACTAAAAAAATTTAAAAACCCGGAGCTTGACATGCGATCCCAAACATTCCCTCTGCCGTCTCACCAGGCCGGAGCTGTTCGATTGGAGCGCGGTGGAGACGAAGACGTCGGCGATCGATAGGCTGGAGCACGCCTTCAGTAAGGCCGAGCAGCACCTGGGCATCGAGAGACTCCTGGACCCCGAAGGTAACCGGCGAGCACATCCAGTGACATCACCGATAACGGTAGAAAAGATTAAAAAAACAACAAAACAAAAAAAAACAAGGTTTCACCAAACTCGGGGCTTGTTTTGAAGTGGACACGACAGTGAGGTGAAAAGAAAAAAAACAACAAACACACACCAGGACATCAGATCCATCTATCTTTGCCAGAGTCCCCTAGTTCAATTTGCTCTGTTAATCAAAACTGTCAGGCAGGGATAAAGAGAATAACACTAACCGTTTCCTCTTTCTCTTCCGTCCCACTGTTTTCATCCGTCTTGTTTTCTTTGGCATCTCCATCTCATTATGTGTTCATTTGGCTGCTCTGCCTCAGATACACCGTGATCTGTCTCTTTCACTTACACCCCTGGTTGACTTGCATGTCCACAGGCTCTTTGCCACCTTTCTTGAGCAAGTGCTCCTTTATACCTGGAGCCTTCTGCTTTAAAAAAAAAGAAAAGGGAAAAATAAAAATCCCTCCTCAGACTTAATTCGACTGCAAGTCTTGGTACAAGCTGGCTGACTGACACATACTCAATGCTGTGGAAGATAATAAGCAGTCTAAACAATGGCCTGCAGTGAATCATGAGAAAAATGGAGGTGGGGGGGAAGTGACTGAAACGGCTGAAGGACGGTCTAAATTATGCAGCCTGTAAGATCGCTCAGTGGTGGGCATATGCCCAGATTGTTTTTAAGCTCCATCTTCACAGTTGTTTGCTTTCTTTAAGGCGTTTTTTGCTCATTATGACATGAACAAACATTTTTGTTTCACTCGATCTTTTGATTTAGACTAAAGCAAATATTCCGTGGGATCACTTTAGTGGAGTTGAGTTTATTTGCATTATGCATTTTAGCAACGAAGAGTTTCATGCTGTAAAAACAGTTATGAAACGGCAACAAACATTACCTTCCATCATCAAAATCCTCAAGAATAATCATCAAATATATTTAAAATTAAGGCCCCCAAACAATTGGGAACTCAGTGTTTCTGCAGTTTTTTAGTTTTCTGGAAGTTTGTTCCATACCAGTGGAGGATAGTAATTTAATGTCTTTTTTAAAAATCAACAGAAAGGATCACCTTTCTGTTACAACACTATGAGGCTGTTTGTTTCACAACAGACCAGAGTTAATATAATGAAATAAGACTAGTGACATAACAAAAACTGAAACTGAGAAAACTTAAATAAAAAGGGTAACTGGAACTATATTGTGCGCTTATAAAACTAACAAACATACTGAAATCAGAGATATGATATCCTTCATCTTCATGTTTATAAATCTACTTGTTAGCCTTTGAATTGATGTGAAATTTAGTATTTTTTCGCAACAAGCAAGCATTTTATATCAATTGTTGGCAAGTTACAGTACTACATATTCCTCCTGGAGGCTCTAATGCTAGTCCAAAAAATGATGACAGCAAAAGTTGGGAGAAAACACCAGAGTCAGTCATTGTTTAACAATAATTGAATTCATTACCCAATCGATGCATACATAATCACAATACTTTGACCTTTTTTGAATCGAAAAAGCTAAAACTGTAAATAACATTTAATAACTAATCAAATTTAGCAAACGCACTTCTAAAACTAATTAAAACTATCTGAATTGGACAAATAAAAAGTCACAGTGAAATAAAACTACACTACAATGAAAAATCCAAATTAATATAGCACTGCAACACAAGCTAACTCTTTTACCTTTTTGCTAACAAAATAATGCTAACTTTACAAGATTAATGGATGGAGCCCAACTGGTTTCCAAATCCTGTTCCAACCAGAACAATTTCAAATATCTTTAATATTTCTCTTTTAACAGATGATTTAATTCTCCCCGCCAGCTTCCAGATAGCTCTCAGCAACATGTTGGGGAGAGGAAGAGGAGAAATCTTTGGATTTGTTACATTTAGAGTGATTTTTTAGTTTTTTGTCTTAACTTTTTGCGCTCCGTGCTCCATAGACGTGGCCGTCTCGCACCCCGACAAGAAGAGCATCATCATGTACGTGACGTCGCTCTTCCGGGTTCTCCCCCAAAGCATTTCCTTGGAGGCCATCCAGGAAGTAGAGTTGCTGCCGTCGGCGACCACGGCCGGCGTCTCCCGCGTGACAACGGAGGAACACTATCAGATCCAGACCCAGCAGCGCTTCTCTCAGCAGGTTGGAAACCCGCGTTTACACACGCTCAGTGTGTCGTGTCTGATTGCATTTGTGGGGCAAAACGTCCTGAAAATATTCTGTGGACGGATGAGACAAACGTAGAAGTTGTTGTCCTGTTACATTTGGTGTGAAACATACCGTTTCAGGAAAAGAAAATCTTAAAAAAAAAAAAAAAAACATTTTAAAAAAAAGTGGGGGTAAAAGTTTTTTTTTTTTATTTGAAAGTGTTATTGGTG